TGGTATAATAACTACTCTGAGTGGGTTACTCTTTTGGCTAAAGGCCAAAGTCTCTATACACAAGTTAACGATTAATCTATTACTAAATGAGTTGATTATTTCAGTAATCGATCACGATTAATCCGACTAATTGTTTCAGCCCAAATCAAAACAAACAAAAAAGTGTTAAGAGAACATTTTTCATAAATAAATAAATAGCAATATATTACTGTAATAATTTTGGCAGCACTAGAGATAATCATGGCTTAGTTTATTTTTTTTTTTCAGTTTTTGTTTTGATACAGTGACTGCTGCATTTTAACTCAAAGTTCTCATACTGCTATATAAGTATCTAACACAATCTGCAGGCTTTATACCACAAAAAAAAACATTCAATCTAATGTAAAACCTATGAAAGGAAACAAAAATGCCTCAACATTACTTGCCAAAATAAGCCTCCATCAGCTACGGTTGTTCAAAAACTGCAAAATCAGATTTGTTTCTGTTCAATGAGTGCGTCAAAACTCTAAACTTCCCCTAATGTTGGATTTTAATCCCAATAAAAAGTGCCTGAACAGTGTTTGGAGGTAAAAAAAAAAAAAAATCTTATAAACACTAAGGACTGTTAAAAATTTTAACCACCAATAAAAGAAAATGCAGGATTCAGTTTATGAGTTTAAGGCTTTCGAAGACAACTTTGGACAACAGAGAAAACAAATTAAGATAAAATCCTATCTGCTGAAATTAGATTTAATTCCCAACACCATTCTATACAACTACACCAACCAGGAAAACTCCCACCGCCACACCCAGCGGTGCTTTTCTCTAGAAAGGTCGACGATCAGACCCATGTTTGGAGATGTGATTCATAGATGAAATTAGTAAACACCTGCACATCTTTAAAATAGAAGACTCCACAATGATCTCAGGCCCACAGTCGCCGTTACATTTAGATCTTTTAGTAAACACCAAGGTCCTGAAGGCTGCTCATCAAAGCCTGACAGGACAGCATATAACCTGAAGGTCATGGAGCTCTATTGTTGTCTGTAAGCCATTAGTAGTCCATTCCTATCATCTTGGGCCACAGCTATAGTTACCAGCAGGTCAGGTCTGGAGCTTCAGTCGGCCAAACAAATAAAGACGGGATATATGAGGAAGCAGGAACAATTCACATCCTGTTGAAAGATGTAAGCTTTAACTTGGATCTCAGGGCTCTGAACTCAATGTAAAACAGTCATGTAAAACATTGATGGTCAAACATATGGACATTTCACATCATTTTAAGAAAGAACTAAAGAATGGAAGAGGAAAATAACTATTTGAATCCATCTTTAAGTGTAAACTCCTGCAAGGTTTAAATTAGAACACTGTGTTTACTCCCTTTAAAGATGGTTAATACTAGGGCTGAAACAAATAATCAGATTAATTGGTTATTGAAATATTCGTCAACTAATTTACTAATCGTTAACTGGAGTATAGAGACACTAAAACGTGCCTTTAGCTGACAGAGCAATCCACTTAGAGCAGTAATTATACCATTTAGCAAAAAGTTTTCTTCAAGGAACCTTTGGCTGTCCGATTATTAATCAATTAATCGAAAAAATTATTGGCAGATTAATCGATTTTGTAAAATAATCAGTTTCAGGCTTAGTTAAGACCACACACACTCATACATAACATTAGATGCACTGTTAAATTATTACTCAGCATTTTGAAGGAGATTTAACCCGTTTAAACCTCAGATGTTTACTTTAATGTGCTCCTGACAGTTGAACTGAAAGTGAATGCCATGTCTAGTTTGAAAGTCTTCCTCAGGATTTAAAGATGCTGAAAGAAGTCTATAAAACTCTAAATCACAGGACCTAAAGCTGGCTCTGGCTGTTGTTGTGAAAAAAGTGAGCACCTGCACAATCAGATAAAGGTTTCACAAGTACCTTCCTGGGGAGATGCAAGTTTTCCAGACAGAGAATATAAACAATAACCCTGATTTCTGGAATAAGGTTCTTCAGAAAGATCTGTCTAAAACTTAATTAGCTGGAGCAGGACATCTTCTGCATAAACCCAGTAAACTAAAATCAGAAAATATCTCACATTGCCCGTAAAGCATCGAGGCCAAACCTAAAACACCAACAGATTACATCCTGCAGTGTTCCGTTTTAGGAGGAAATCAAATGTCAATGATTTGGTTTGAAGTTCAACAGTGATTTTAAAATAGAAATTAACAGAGAAGTTGTAAAATACTTTACCACCTTTGGTGGTTGGCAAAGCTGAAATCCCTCCTGTCCTGGTAGCTCTTTCAAACAGCAATCCTTTCTTTCAATTCATCCGGCTAATATTACAGCAATGGTCTCTATGCTGGATCGATTGCTCTCGCCTGCAGCTGTGTGTCTTTTAACCCATACTCCAAAAAATGAACACATCCATCTTTTCTTGAACTCATTCTTCTTGCTGCCAGAGCCGTTTAGAGTTAATTTTCACATTCTTACTTTTAAGCCTCTGCGCTTCTTCAGGTGCTGCTCCTGAACAGGTATCAAAAGCCAGGGAAGCTCAGGGGAGGCAGGGTCCCCTCTGCTGTTGCTCTTCATTAATGGAAAAACCTACTGCTGCACATTAGAGAGGCTCATTCACTGGCTACTATATAAAAAAATAATAAAAAAAAAATCAGCTGGAAACCTATTTTCATTCTTTGGCTCCTAACAGCAGTGAGACATAGTTTGCCCTTTTTTGCTTTTTTGTTATGTCTAATTGTTCTTATGCTTTTTTATGGTTGTTTTATAGATTGCAGTTATGTTTAGAAAGAAAATTTATTTT